CATCAACAATGGAAACGGGTCTCATAAGCAACATTAGCATGGATGCAGGGCAGGTCCTGATATTTTGGGGCCCCGGGGCGAACTAAAACTCAGGGGCCTTCAGTATAAATGTCATATTAATAATAATCAACATATATGTGTATATTTGAAATGTAACAATAAACATTTTTTTTTAAACGGAGGCAAAAGTTTTGCCCCATCAATTAATTAAGCAGAAGAGAGTTGCTCGGTTAATTAGGGAAAACCGAGTGAAAACCAGATTGCCCAGTTAATTATGGAGAACCGGGCTAAAACCCTCACAACCGCTGAGCGGCACACATAGAAAGCCCCACGCACACCACTCCAAAGAGGGCCTCGACGAGACCGCACGCAGGCGTCATCGTCATCACTCCTCCCCTAGAGGCGTCATCGCCATCCCTACACTCTGAGGAAACGACTCCCACTTTGCCGTAAGCGATCGTTTACTCAACCCACACTGTAGCGGACACGTGAAGGTGCATGAAGATCGATGCCAAAACCTCAGCCTCCTGCGGCCAGACAGCGCAACTCCAACTCTGACGGAGAACTCAGTAGGACAAAACCAGGCACGGCTGATGCCACAGGAGATCGCCGAACGGGCAACTTGCAGCCAGTCATCGTATACCACAGGGCCTCGCCGCCGCAGCTTCGACTCCATAGCAACAAGCAAACCGAGGCAATACCGTGGAGACGCCGAAGAAGAGCCGACTACCGCAACCATTGCCGCGTCGCCGACATTGCTCCCACCATCATCGTTGCCACAGAAGCCTGGACGCCACCAACCACCGGCCCCGCTTGCCGATGCCGAGCTCCAAGACGAAGCCCCCAAGAGGGAAAACAACACCAAGGCGCCGTCATCATCCGATCATAAGATCTAGGGTTTCCCCTGAAGAGGCCGAGATGGCCGGATCCATGCGAGGGGAGTGCGGCAGCAAATCAGCGAAGCCTCCAGGAAGGTCACGACGGCCACAGCCGCCGCCATCGCTGGTCACGGCACATGACCGAGATAGGGTCTTCACCCGAGCTCCCACATCACCTCGGTTGCACATCATCCCGCACCGGCACCGACAAGCCCACCAATCATCCTCGCAGCCGAAGCCGCCGCCCGAGCGCCAAACAGGCAGCCCGAGCCCCTCCACCACGCGCCCCGCCAGAGAAGCAGCACCATGACGGGCCTCCACCACGCCGGAGCAGGTGGCCACCCAGCCGCAGATCCGTGCTGCCCGGACCTCCTGCGCACATCCGCCGAGCCTCCCTGCCCAGCCTCGCCTGAGCCGCAGCCCCTCACGCCCACCTGCCGAGCTTCCCTGCCGCTGCCTCCCTGTCGCCTCGGTGCGACCCACACACGGCATATCCGCGCCAGCTGGGCCACCCCGCGCCGCCACCGTGCCTCTGCACGGTCCCCTTGTGCTGCTCCCGCGCCTCTGCACAGCCCCTTGCGCGTCGGAGCACCCGCGGCATGGAGCCGCCCACCGCCGATCCCCTCGCACTCCCTTTGCACCGGCGCCCTTGCCGCAACGCGCAGGCAGCAGATCTGCGCCGCAGGACCCTCTGCACGCACTAGACGCCCGCGCCCTGACGCGCAGATCCGCGCCCAGCCCGCCGAGCCCCTGCGCCATGGCCGTGCACCAGTGAGCGCACGCAGCATCCCACCAAGTCCGTCAAGTCGTGGCCGCCAGCCCTGCATTGTAACAGTTTTGCAAGTATATGTAATGGCCTATGAAGGAATCTATCACAAGACATCGTTGAAAATGCAAAAGCTATGTTTAATGTCAGGCTATTGTACTGTACAAAGGAATCTATCACTAGACATCCTTGAGACAGGTGACTACAAGAAATTTGTCCATGAATTGTTATAAAAGAAATTTGTCCATGAATTGTTCTAATAGAAATTTTATCTAAAATGCAGATTAGTTCTTGGACTGACTATTGCTAAGGTTATTATTCTAATTTCTAAATAGAAGTTTCCGACAAATAGATATATGTGCAAATCCATATGAATGATATGGAAAACATTATTCCATACTTTAAAAACTAAATCAGTGGTACTGCAAAGTAATTCTTATCTACCTCAACAAATTTGGAAGTTAAGAGTAAATAACCCCATTGATGTTGGCAATGCACGGTGGTCTGAAGACTGCTCGCCAAGAACACCATCTAGAACATTATTCCTTGTTTTTATCTGTTTCAGATCTACTATACCACAGGACCGGCACGCCGTCGGCCTCCGATGCACTGCCATCTCAACAGGCACCCATGGACGTCCCTGGCTGGTCGGGAATCTCCAAGCGGGAGGAGTAAATTTTTGCGGAGCGAGACAATGCCTTCGAGTTTTTTGTCCCGCAAACTTGTCGACGTTGACTAGCCAGATAGGACACTAGTAGACACCATTGTGATCGTAGTTTTGGTGGAACCGGGCGACACATTGATTGGACAAATGTGATCATCATGTATGCACACTGCTCCATGCAATTTGCTTGACGTATTCAAAGTTTTCCAATGACTAGACTGTAATCGTGGTGCCGAGTCTAGTTAATGGATTAGATGACGAGGATGAATGGCCGATGAATGGCCGATCATTTACCTACTGCGTGGACCTAGCCTGCTACAAGCTCTAAGTACTCAATTTACCCCTCTCGCCAACCACCGGTGCAATTTCCATCAAAACCAAAATGCTAGTCATGAAGACTGAGCGACCCAAACTGCTCGCCTCTCTCGCCGCACTTCTACCGCTGCTGCTGATGATGGTCGACGCACTCACCCCGGGCACCGGAGTATGTTAGCTAGACTACAGGGTATCTAGCTTCCCAGGATCAAGCGAAGAGAATTGGAGAGCAGCAAAGAGAGAAGATGCAGCTGCTGCACATATATGTAGTTGAATCAGTGAACACACGCACACATGCACTAGTGATAGAGAAGCTCACGTACTAGTACTACTTTGAAGCTTTATTTCTTGTTTTCTGACTATCTTACAACCGAAGGACTCTAGTCCTTATATAGGGGATTACAAGATCGCTGTGAGCTGCACGTGTACAGCCACGTACACACACTGGAACCTACCGCATACTAGAATTTATTGCTTGCATGTCCAGCTCATGCATGCACCATTCTACGGGTAACACGTACACTTCCTTAACAGCTAAGCTCCGCCGACATGCACCTAGATATTTTCCAGCATTCAACTAGCTCATGCGTTGCACTTGCCGACAGCCTGATATTTTGAGTACAATGCTGACGGGGCAAGCAAGATTATATTCTAACAGAGTACAAGCGAGGGCACTCCTCGCTTGGAAAGCCAGCCTCAGCAACCAGAGTCAGCAGGCCCTGACGTCCTGGGAGAACACGTCCGCGCTCTGCAGCTGGCACGGCGTCAGCTGCACGGTGCACCAGCGCCGGCCCGTGATCAGCGGCATCTCCTTGAGGGGGATGCAGCTTAGAGGGACGTTGGAGTTGCTCAACTTCACAGTGCTGATGACGCTGACAAGTCTTGACCTCTCTCACAACCAGCTCTCCGGGGGCATCCCTCCCGGCATCAAGATTCTCGAGGGCCTCCAAAGTCTGCTCCTGCAAGGCAACCAGATAAGAGGCTCAACACAATTAGATAAAATGAGTAGTAATCTTGTGACCCTCAACTTGTCAATCAATCACTTAGTTGGTCACATCCCTTCTGAAATAGGCCACCTAACTCACTTAGTTACATTAGATCTGTCAAGCAATAATCTTTCCGGCTCAATCCCAAGCAACATCGGTGGTTTGACAAAACTCGCCACCTTGAACCTTTGCCAAAATGAACTTTCAGGGCAAATTCCACAAGAATTAGGTTACCAAGTGAACTTAGAGGTCTTGGATCTTAGTGAAAACACACTCTCTGGTTCCATCCCAGACATCTTAGGGAATTTGACAAAACTCAACAGCTTGTAGCTTTGGGACAACAAACTTTCCGGAAAAATTCCACAGGAATTAGGTTACCTTGTGAACTTAGAGGGTTTGTCTCTTCAAAAAAACACACTCTCAGGTTCCATTCCAAGAAATTTATGTAATTTGACCAAGCTCACTTTCTTACGCCTTTGGGAGAACAGACTTTCTGGTCAAATTCTACAAGAATTAGGTAACCTTGTGAAGTTAGAGAATTTGGCTCTTCAAGAAAACACACTCTCTGGTTCTATCCCAATAACCGTAGGGAATTTGACAAACCTCACTCTCTTGTACCTTTACAAGAACCAACTGTCAGGACCTATACCTCAAGGAATTGTCAAGTTAATGAGTCTGATTAAGTTGGACCTCGCTTTTAACAACCTATCAGGCGCCTTGCCATTCAACCTTTGTGTGGGAGGTCAGCTACAGCATTTGGCTGCTACTGGCAACAACCTGGTTGGACCCTTACCATCAAGCTTGCTAAGTTGTAAGAGCCTAGTAAGGGTTCGACTTGAACGAAATAACCTTGAAGGAGATATCGCCGGGATGGGAGCTTATCATATGGTTCAGGAATAATAAGAAATTGTGTGGTGTTGTGAAAGGTTTGCCCCCTTGTGACCTTCCTCGAGGTAGTAAACAAGGGAAAAAGTTCGATGCTAGTTTACTAGTTATTATACCAGTTGTTATATCTTTTGTGTTTGTCATTACACTAGTAACATGGCATTGCAAAAGGAAGAAAAATGAGATAGAAACATCAAATGAAGTACAACAGACCATGATGTTCGCCATCTGGAACTTTGATGGGGAAGATGTGTACAGGAAAATTGTTGATGCCACAAACAATTTCAGCGATGCTTTTTTGCATCGGATCTGGAGGGAATGGATCTGTCTATAGGGCTCAGTTACCAACAGGTGAATTATTTGCAGTGAAGAAGATCCATGTGGCAGAAGACAATGAGCAATTTAACCGTGAAATACACTCATTGGTGCACATTCGACATCACAACATTGCAAAGTTATTTGGTTACTGCTCTGCAACTCAGGGAAGATTCCTTGTATATGAATACATGAACAGAGGGAGCTTAGGAGCAACTTCAAATTGTATGGGAACTGCAGTTGAAATGGATTGGGCGAGGAGGTTAAATATTGCAAGGGATGTTGCTCATGCTTTGTCATACATGCATCACGGTTGCTTTGCACCGATAGTCCACAGAGATATAAAGAGCAACAATGTTTTGCTTGATCGGGAATTTAAAGCTTGCATCTCAAATTTTGGTCTAGCAAAAATACTAGATGTGAATGGGTCAAACTACACAAATCTTGCCGGGACAAAAGGATATCTTGCCCCAGGTAAAATTATATCACTATGTTGGTACTTTTAGATAACATACTAGAAGAGTTTTTATTGATCAATGTACTTAGATGATAGATGTAGCAAAACTGACTCTCGAATGTTGATATTTCTTCAGAGCTTGCATACACAACAAGGGTGACCGAGAAGTGTGATATTTATAGCTTCGGAGTGCTGGTTCTAGAGTTGTTCATGGGACATCATCCAGGTGATTTCCTTTCACCCATTGTCGAAAAAACTACATTACTTCAGAATTTACTGGACACACGGCTCCCACTCCCGCGAGCTGAGATCGCGGGTGAGATGTTTCAACTGATCGTTGTCACTGTCCGGTGCATAGAGCCTGATCCATCACACCGTCCAACGATGCAACAAGTACTCAAGGTGTTCTCAACAGTTGAACGATCACCTAGTGATCATCTTGATTATCTCCAAACCGGCATTGTCATCCCTGCCTGCTGGTCATGAATGTTCATCTGGCTAGTACATTGTTGTTTCTTTCCTTGTGATTACATAGCCTATGTGGTAATTTGTTTTCTTCCTTACCCTTATGCCCCGTAGCTATTGTTTCGCAATTAGCTACATATGAATGCTTGTATACAAGACAGAGCTCCTGCTATTTCTTAATAATTATTAATGAATAATCCATTCACATCCTGTGTTGGATGCCTCCTTATAGATCCTTTTGGACATTATAAGATTCGCAAGCCATGAGCTGCTTCCTATCACCTGGGGCTGCAGCAAGCTCCACTAGTTGCTTATAAACAATAATAAGATGGGTACAATGAAGTACCATTTCATGTGGTTTTTGGAATAACTGGCCTAGAAATCATGCATATTTTTTGTTCCGTACGCATCGAACATTAGATTCTAGCTCGAAGATATATACAAGTAATGCAGATTATTTCTTCTATTGGCTCAGTTTATGGTTTCATATGGTTTTCTAGTAGTGATATGATTCATATCAAACAAGAAAGGTAAGGTAGTTTTAGCATGACGAAATATGCAGGTAGTGATATGATTCATATCAAACTAGAAAGATAAGCTAGTTTTAATATGATGAAATATGCAGGTATTTTGTGCCTGACATTGACACTGGTGCTCACTGTCAACTTTTGGCTTATAGTTTTGTAACATGTTGTTGGTTGCCACGTCAGTAATTAGAACCTGACTTATAGAGTTGATGTGTATTGTTTAGTGCCCGACGTATCACTACTGGAATCAAATTGTTAGTTTAGTGCCAAATAAGGATGAAAAACACTTTGAAAAGGCTTTGCCGAAGTTTACAATTGGCATACACACTTCCAGCAAAGGGCTCCTTGCCGAGTATTTTTTTTGGTTGCGCATTTGCTGAGTGTCAAAAGCCAGTACACAACATAAAAAAAAGACCAGACGGAACAAAGCGGAGAGGCAGCGTTGTTGCCACTTGGCACAGATGATTTGCCAAGTTCATATGCTCGGCAAAAGAGACGGCATTGTAACATTGTGAACAAGAACAAAAAGTCGCCATCGGTGGGGCTGCCGCACCACACGACAGCTTCATGACCGCCACATCGCCACCACATCCAAGCTGCCACACCACGCCACCATGCCCTGCAACCGCGTTCTCCACCATTGGGCAGTTGAGAAATACCCTTCCGTTCCGTGTACATCCCCAACACATGGAGCTCATACAATACAAAGACATGGGGCGACAAGGATGCAGTAAGTGGTTTCTTCAACAATTGGTGTGTTTGATTCCAATTGCATGCATGCATGTGTTTGTCAAGGATGGAGCTGCATTGGCTATGTCAGGTCTCGCCACTTCAATTGTTTTTTTTTTTGAAAAGGGGGGACTCCCCGGCCTCTGCATCTGGACGATGCATACAACCACCTTTATAGAAAGCAAATAGGTTCAACAAAGTCTTAAAGTCTGAAAATAAAGTAACGGCAAGCTCACAAAGAGCGACAACGCCAAAAACAAAAGAGCCAAGAAGCCACAACCGGCTAGCATAACAAAGATAGGAAAACTAATTGCCCTATCCTATTACATGACCGCCATCTAAACCGGTTGAAGATATCCCGTGCTACCATCTCCCATCGGATAGATCCAGTAACCAAACGCTCTCTGGGCTCCGTCGGAGTGAGTAACGAGCACATACGGATCAGTGCAGTGGCTCGGAATAAAACCTGCAAAAAATGAATATTTTTGTTGTTCTGTTAAAAGCCAAATCAGTTCTGCAGTTCCAAATTGCCCACAACAAAGCACATACTCCTACGCGAATGTGTCTAGCTGTTTCGGACTCTATCCCAACAAGCCACTTTCTAAATAACGTACTGACAGAATTCGGAGGAGAAATGTTAAAGGCAATGTGCACCGTCTGCCACAAAACTTTGGCCAGCGGGCAATCAAAGAAAAGGTGCTTGATAGTTTCATCCCGATCACAAAAACTACACCTAGTAGATCATGTCCAGTTGCGCTTTACCAAGTTATCATTTGTTAATATGACTTGTTTATGTACAAACCACATAAACACTTTAATTTTCAAAGGAACTTTGACTTTCCAAACATATTTGGAACTAGGAATGGCGCTACAGTTGATGACATCGATATACATCGATTTAACTATGAACTGTCCATACCTAGTAAGCTTCCAGCACAACTGATCAGACTGATGAGCTAGCTGAACCTCCATCAATCTACTCACCAAATGAAGCCACGCTTCCCACCGGTGGCCAACAGGCGTCCTCCTAAATTGAATATTAAGGGGAATGGACTGCATTATCGTTGCAACAAAGGCATCACGTCGTTGAACAATACTATACAGGGACGGATACTAAAGCGCCAGCGGCGTTTCACCAAGCCAAGTATCCTCCTAGAAGCGCATGGTAGTACCATTATGAACTATAAACTTTGTCCTATTAAAGAAGGTTGCTTTGACTCTCAGAAGCTCCTTCCAAAAAGGCGAGTCAGTCAGTCTCACTGTCACCTAGGACAAAGTTTTGGACTGCAGATACTTACTACAGAGAATCTGCACCCACGTGGCCTCAGTCTCAACAGACAACTTATACATCCACTTACTGAGAAGACATATGTTCTTGACTTCAAGATTCTCAACGCCAAGGCCCCCCTGGTCCTTTGGCCTACAGATGATATCCCATTTGGCGAGTCTGTATTTTCTCTTTAGTTCATCACTCTGCCAGAAGAATCGGGATCGATAGAAATCCAGCCTTTTCCTAACACCAACTGGTACTTCGAAGAAGGACAAGAGAAACATAGCCATACTCGTGAGTACCGAATTAATAAGTATCAATCGGCCTCCGTATGACATGAGTTTGCCCTTCCAGCAACTTAGTTTCTTCTCAAACCGATCCTCGATACACTTCCATTCTCTGTTTGTCAGCTTACGATGGTGAATGGGTATACCTAAGTACGTGAAAGGTAAAGTCCCCAATTCACATCCAAACAATTGCCTATAAGCCTCTTGTTCCTCATTGGCTCTACCAAAACAGAAAAACTCGCTTTTATGAAATTTAATCTTCAATCTGGTCAATTGTTCAAATAAGCATAACACCAGCTTCATATTTTTTGTTTTTGCCAAGTCGTGCTCCATAAATATGATCGTATCATCAGCGTACTGCAGGATGGTCACACCTCCATCAACTAGATGAGGCACCAAGCCACCCACCTGACCTGCCTCCTTTGCCCTACCTATCAAAATTGCCAACATATCAACCACAATGTTGAACAGAATAGGAGACATTGGATCACCTTGTCTCAGGCCCTTGTGTGTCTAGAAATAATGACCTATGTCATCATTCACTTTAATTCCAACACTCCCTTTTTGCGTGAAAGATTCTACCTGGCGTCGCCAAACTTCATCAAAACCCTTCATGTGTAAGGCCTGTTGAAGGAAAGGCCATTTGACTTTATCGTATGCTTTCTCGAAATCCACCTTGAAAACAACCCCATCTAGTTTTTTCATGTGAATCTCGTGGAGCGTTTCATGAAGGACCAGAACCCCTTCAAGGATGTTCCTATCCGGCATGAAAGCAGTTTGGGAATGCTACACCACAGAATGCGCAATCTGTGTGAGCCTATTAGTCCCGACCTTGGTAATTTTTTTGAAACTAACATTAAGAAGACAGATAGGCCTGAATTGCTTAATTCTCACCGCCTCTGTTTTCTTAGGAAGTAGTGTTATAGTTCCAAAATTCAGTTGAAAAAGTTGAAGCTGTCCAGAGAATAAATCATGGAACAACGACAACAAACCCCCCTTAATAATATGCCATCACTTCTTATAAAAATCTACCGGAAAACCATCCGGGCCGGGAGCCTTATTATCTTTCATCTGCGAGATGGCCTCAAACACCTCTTTCTCCGGAAAAGGATTAGCCAAAATATCATTCTCAACAACAGTAAGTTGAGGAACATCCTCAATCCTAGACTCATCCAGAGAGACACAGTTCTCCTCTGGAGACCCAAACAACTGCTTGTAATACTCGGTAATGTATAATTTTAGGTTCTCCTACCCTAAAATCGTTCCTTCATCTTGTTCAAGCAAGAAACCTTCTTTTAGCCAAGTCTTTCAGACCTCTGCTATCCCAAAAGATTCCTTCCATATTTCGTCATGAATTTTTTAGCCGTATGGATCCTAGCACTCCTACGCACTGCGGAAGCCGGGTATATCTTCCACTTCCACTTGCATTTAGGTTTGTTATGACACTCCATCCGGTCCTTACAACCAGGCTCAGAAGGTCTAACCACGACATTCTCAGATGTATCATCCTCCTCCTCAGACTCCGGTAGAGGTGGTACAAGATCTGCACAAACATTATTGAGAACCCTTACCCCCAAAGCTTTAAAATCGGAATCGTTCATGGGTTTAACCGCATCTAAGTTATGAATCATCTCTAAAGCCCGCTCTGCCTCTAAATCTAGGATATCATTGACGGAATTTGAAATTTCACTATCATTACTACCTAGTGAAACTCCTAATTGGTTTGCATTATTAATAATCTCATCATTAGAAAAATGCAAAATGGAATTAGAGGTATTAACCGACATACCAGTAGTGACCTCAACGTCACGAAGCTTGGCCGCCCTCATGGCGCACCGCTGTTGTATGTCGTCAACCTCCGGATGATCCTGGAGATGGCAGCTCAACCGTCGCCCCTCAGAGACCGGATTCGGAATCCCTCCAAACGCAATAACCTCCTCCCGAGTGACCCTGCTCGGGATGGGGCCTCCTGCCTCACCCCAAACACGCAGTCGGTCTGCCTCCGTGGACGAAACATCGGGAATGCACTACAAAAAAAAAGACACATCCGTGACATTTTGGACCGAACGCATTTTTTTCTGTCATACTTATGACACTTCTATGATGATAATTGTGACAAAACCCGGTATCATCATAGATGTGGTGGGCTCCTACTTCTATGAAAAAAATCATGAAAGAAAATGGGCTTTTTGTCCTGGGCGGGCTGGA